GTCCATATGGTCGGTTCTTAGACCGCCTTTAAAACACCAATGCACGTGGATCTTCGGCACAATGATAGTGAAGACGTTTGATATAACTGTCACCAAATAGTACGACTTTAGCCATTGTAAGTCAGACTGTAATCAGTACGCAATAACTAGTAGTTTATATACATCTAAACTGAGCTGAAAATGTCATATTTTAATGTTTGAATGAAGTAAACTGTTAACACAATGTAACACCTACCTGCATAAATAGTGCCTGAAGTAATTATATATCAATCACGATTTGTATACAGCCGTAAGTGTGAAAAATAGCATACCTACTCCTTAGATAGTCTCTTGTTAATTCGTTCAATTATATACATTAGAATATAATCTATTTTTTTTCCAATTTCAAATTTTATTGCCTGAAACATTATACAATGTTTATAGCATATAAACAACATAAACATATATACATATATATGCAAGCATTGCATGACAACAACATCTACAACTATAAAGAATGTCATTCCTAGAATGATGTGATGCATGCATTGCTCAGCACCATTTATTCTTGACCAAGCTGACAATACAGAAATTTGTCAGGATTACAAGTCTGACAATGATTCACTTCCAACTTTACAAGCTCATAACTGGTTGGCAGAACAAAATACGGACCCAATCATTTCTTTGGTAAAGTCAGTCGTCTCACTTGGCAATCGTCCCACTGAACTACAAATGAAGGATTATCCCATTATGGCGAGGAAATACCTTCGAAATTGGAAGAAGTTATTTATTAACGACGGTATTCTCTTTCATCGAACCATGATTAGAGGAGAGATTATGGAGCAAATTGTTCTTCCAGAATCTGCCAAAAGAGATATATTTAAAATCCTTCATTCTGATATGGGCCATCAGGGAAGAGACCGTACAACAAGTTTGTTTAAAGAGAGGTTCTATTGGCCGGGTATGGACTCTGACATTTCGTTGTGGGTGAGTCAGTGTGATAGGTGCATTCGTCGTAAGGTACCACCTACTTTAGCGACAGGGTTGGTGAACATCTGTTCTTCGGCGCCGATGGAGTTGGTGTCCATTGACTACCTTTCACTCGAGGTATCTAAGGGCGGCATAGAGAATGTACTTGTCATCATGGACCACTTTACTCGCTTTGCTCAGGCCATACCAACAAGGAACCAGACTGCTAGAACTACAGCCAAAGCTCTCTTTGACAATTTCTTTGTTTACTACGGATTTCCCGAAAAACTCCATTCAGATCAGGGTCAGAATTTCCTCTCAAAGGTTATTAAGAGACTTTGTAGGATTGCCGGTATAAGAAGGTCAAGGACGACACCATACCACCCACAATCAAACGGACAAGTGGAGCGTTTTAACCAAACACTTCTTCAGATGTTAGGAACGCTTACCGATGACAAGAAGAAAGATTGGAAAACAGCCATACCTTCACTTGTCCATGCATATAATGCCACTCGTCATGAGAGCACTGGTTATGCACCTTACCAGCTGATGTTTGGTAGACCACCCAGATTAGCAATCGATGCATTTCTTGGTCTCAAACGTCAGCATATCAGCGGAACTTCTCCATCTGATTATATGCAGAAGCTAGAACAACAGCTTTGCGACGCATACCAAAGGGCTAACGATGCAGCGATCAAAAGTGGGAAACGGGGCAAGAAATACTACGATCAAAAGGTCAAGGAATGCAAACTCATACCTGGAGATCGTGTTCTGGTCAGAAATGTTGGACTCAAGGGAAAACAAAAACTTGCCAATGTTTGGGAAGAAGTACCTTACATCATTCAAAAACAGCCAAATGAAGATCTGCCAGTATTTGCTGTAAAAAGAGAAGATGGTGAAGGCAAAACACGTGTTCTTCATAGAAACATGTTGTTACCATTTACCAGCTTGCCGACTCCTATCTCTGACCACACTGATGAAAGTTCATCTGAACCTGAAAAAGATAACGGTGATAAAATTAATTCTGTTTTCTCTGATTCTTTTTCAGATTGTAACAGCTGTTCATCCTCTACAGACAGATATCGACCTCCGCACAGACGAGGACCAAATGAACCCGGACTTCTTCCTCGCAGAACACGGCAGAAACCAGGTTGGATGACCTCGGGAGATTTCATGTTAGGTCAACATACGTTTACCGTACCACGGGACCGCGTTGTTCTTCTATAGATATCAGCCAACACCTATTATGATAATACTATGACTTGTACCAATATCCTGATACTGATATTGTAGATTTATAAAGTTTCTAATATATGTTATCTGACAAGAGCAATCTTATGACAGTTTTGTAACTTCATTTTTATAATGTTGTTATTGCTTCAATTGAATTGAATGTTACATGTATATTGCAAACTCATTTGTAACATTGTCCATAATATTTCAATAAATACAACGATAACACCTGATAGCATTGAACTTGTCTCTACAATATTCATGTCACCTTTATTTATGGGTAACATATCGGACGCGCGAATTTGTAATAAACGCATTGTATCTACCTCGTTGCTATATTTTCACTGGTAATGTCGAGGACGACATTTTTATAGGAGGGTAATGTGTTACAGGTGCTTCAATTACTATAGATAATATAAATAAAATCCTGAAACAGTATTTTGTCTTGTATTTGATTTTTCCCTCAAATATATTATCCAATCATTAAAGCATCTTTGTAGCCGTAACTAGACTATGTAGTTGTAGGCCGTAGCATAGTATGTAGGATGCCGTTTCAGGTAACATTCTATTTATCTATCTCTCTAACTGTGCACTTTACACCTTATTCTATTGTTATGCTAAATATTTGACTGTATTGACCAATCGCAATGTACAATATCGATGAGACTACCATGTTATCATTGAGTTGTATATTCGATTGAGAAATACATTTGAATAATTGCAAAATATATATTGTTTTATATATATTTTCCAGGTAATTTTTAAAGCATCGTGTTTGAAATACATGTTTCTACAATATTGTATGTTAATATGTAAATCTGTTTCGTAAATAATGCTTTTGATGATGTTTTTCTATGCGTCTTTGTGTAAACTATATACGTCGCCATATTTGTTCATTGTTTACATTGACAATATCGATGAGACTACCATGTTATCATTGAATTGTATATTCGATTGAGAAATACATTTGAATAATTGCAAAATATATATTGTTTTATATATATTTTCCAGTAAATGCCCGCCGTCAGTCCAGCTTATAACCCTCAATCCTCAGTCGACGCACTTATAAACCTAATCTACAGAATCATATGACATATATATGAGACCCATACTGTAACATATAATTGTATTTTTGACATTGTTGTATTTTTGACATAAAAACACCGTTGTATTAAGCCTCTTATTTGCAGTCATGATTTTAGTTAAACAAAACGTTGTTTTTTATTGTTCGGCTAATACCCTATATTCCGTAAGGCTTATAATATATTTTTCTAATAATCCAGTATAGCTAGAAGAGCATATGTTACACCTACGTGACACACTATTGTTTGTACATGAAAATAGGTATATATAGAATGTATATGTTCATTTTTCATATCTTCCTGCCATCTTATGAAAACTCAATTTAAAAAACCAATTGACGGTCAATTTAAAGCTGTACTAAAATTGTGTTCTTATATCACGAAATCAATCCATCATATCAAGCACTTTTTATACTTTTCACTCTGTCGTTTTTCCCAATCTACGGTCTTTTCTTGTAGAGAGTAGATATGTAAAATCTAAGTTGATTCAGAATTTATGTGGAATTAGTAGCCGGTTTCTTGTGGAGAAATTGGGTAAACATTGTTATCGGAAAGCCGTAAGACTCTTTTATGAGGTGGACTCACCGCCGAAATATGACAAACATTTGTTAGAAAAGGCGTACAATCAATCAAACAATCACAAAAATGAAGCAATATATTTGCCTTGGATTTTAAATTTAATTTTATAAAGTTTGACTTGTACCACGTGTCTGGTTACGCGTATGGTTTCTCTAACTGTTTACTCAATGTCATTTTAAAATAACGTGTTAGTTTAAACATCTAAAATAGGTTATGAATACATACCAGTTAAGGAAACAGGAATAAAACATTTAAAATTATTTTACAGATTTTCTATCCAGGTGCTTTCTTAATATTTATAAATATGAAATTGTAGTTTTTAAGAAGAAATTTTTTTAATTTCATTCTATAACACACTCACGCACACACACACACACGCACACGCACGCACGCACGCACGCACGCACACACACACACACACACACAGGTCAGGTAAACCGCAGCACATTCACGCACACGCCCGCCCGCACATACGCACACACACACGCACGCATACGCACAAACACACACGTACACGCGCACACGTACGCTGCCACGCACGCACACTCACACAGAATCATGCGTTATTCTCTGTGGTTATTTTCTTATGTTCTGAGAAGAAAAAACAACCTTAATTCATGTGAAAAGGAAAAAAAACAACAGCTGAAAAATATGCTTGCTTTTTTAAATCAGTCAGAGTGAATATAATAAAGGGATTTATATTTTAGAGATAAGCATTGTTATATATGGCGGCATTTGTTATGAAATCAACACAGTGAGACACAGAAAGAATAGTGTTACCATGACTCTAATTTATCTGATTTATATTTTTGCATCTCTATTACCAAACATAGGACATAGATACAAAGCTGAATACAGGAAAATAAAATAACATCAAAATATAACATTTATTTGATATTAATGAATGGCAAATTGCTAAAAAAAAGACCGCACTCGTTCAAACACATAAACTGACACCCCTAGTTTCAGACAGGAAATTCAAATATCATAAAAATATGACATTATTAAACGCACCCAATTATTTTCCCTTTACATGTATTTGATTATTCAATATGGGAAGAGCATTTTATTTATATTAATGAATTATAAATTGCTAGGAAATGCCAAATCGTTATAACGAGTCATATTTATCTCTCACTTGGATTTGATCGAGCGGCGCAACAAGTTACTCCGCAGATTCATTCGACTTTTTGGTGAAGACTTCCGTTTAACGTAATATGCCGGATTGAGTGTGAAATTTAACATTCATATCAAGCCATCATGGCTTTGAAGTGGTTTTTCATCTTTATTTTTGTCAGCTATTTGAATACAGGTATGTCGTTTATTATATTAATTAGATAGGATAGTTTAAATTAAGCTTGTTATAATTTGTAACGTGTTTGGTAGGCAAATGACAGAAAAGGACAAACGCGGAACCCGTTTGCCTAAACTACCCTTTCTACGACTATTCTTGATTTGATTTATATTTTATGACCGCTTGCTTCCTTTACTGACACCTGTCTCACATGACTTTCTGCATTCTTTTTCCAAACTTCTTATTGTTTACTATTTTGTTTCATTGAGCTATTTTAAAGAAACAAACAACGCATGTATTTTCAATAATCATACAATTCAATAGATTCTGATTCTGTACTTTGGATTTACCTCTTATCCTAAGCCTGGCGGAATCCTGATATGAACCTTATATCTGCTAATTAAATGCTATAACAACTCTAACGAGAAATTATTAAGGTTTTTTAAAACGCGTATATAAATATAAACGTGCACGCAAAGTAATAACAGAAGAAGAAAAACAATCAGACGGATGAATTTGACGAATTTTAATGATTTTATTTTAAGATATTTCAAGTCCGCGTACTGCAATCTTTTCAACGCTATTTTGTTTCAAACGTTTGGCAATAATAAACAACGGATATTTCTACAAGCATAACACCTATTGATATACCAAGTATGATAAAATCGGTACTAGGGTGTAGAGGAATCTCATGTTGAAATTTCATCACCATAGAGTAAAACTTTGCTAAATCCTTATTATCTTTTATCTTAGTTCCAAACTGTACCTAAAACAATACTTCACTGAAAAAAAAAGAACTTTCACAAAGGAAATACTAGTATGTGTTCTAAAACTTTACACATTTTAATGACTGTATATAGGAAATGTTCGATACATTTTCCGGATATTTTATTGTCGATATATAAGTTAGAAATTTAAAATAAAAATATAGCAAAGTAAATGCGCATTATATGTATATGTTTTCTGTTTCTATTTTTTAACAAATTAACATACCACAAACAATCACCGAAGGTACTGTTTGGCAATATAGACCTGAGACTGATTTATTTTCGAAGCTTTTTACGTTAGTCTCTGTGTTAATTTTCTGTAATTTATTTCGATTAACCAATTGATTTTAATGATATAGTTTTCAATAATAAATTCAAAATGACGGCGCTATGTTCTACTGTTAAGTATTATGGCATAACAGTCGAGCAGTTGCAAGTTCAAATTTTTTTTATAAAATTATTGTTCGAAAAAAGAAAAGTTTATATTACAGAAAGAAAATGTCTGAGATAGAAAATTTAAAGAAAGGTAAACTAAGAGATTTTCGGAAATATTTTTAAAAACAATTGAACAACTTTGGAAAAAATATTACAGTGGAACAATTTAAAGAATATTTTTCTTAAACTCGTATATGCAACGACTTATTTGCTTGTTGCAATGAGGAGGCTAATCAGTTTTGTCATAATAATGATTTTATGAAATCACACGAAATTTTTCCACAACTAGACCAGCCAATTACAGTTTGTGAAAGTTTAACTGCTGTAAAATCATTAAAGCGTAACCAAGTGTATGGTAGCGACTGCTTATTAAACGAGTATTTTAAATGTAGTTTTGAGTATGAACTTTATTTGGATATTTTGCCAAGATGTTTTAGATTTTATTTCTGTAGATTAAGAATGAGTAGTTTGCCTTTGAGAATATAAACTGGCAGATATTCTCGAAATATAATTGTTAGAGAAGAAAGGTATTGTTTATGCAGTAATGCCTGAGACATTAAAGATGAATTTCATTTTGTTTGTATATGTTGTTGTTATTCAGAGTTAAGAAAAAAATATTTGAAAATTAAATATACCAGAAACCCGTCATTTTATAATGTTTTACAATAATTGAACTCAAAAATTAAATATGAATTAATTCAGTTATCCAAAGATGTTAAAGAAGCACTTGCTTTGAGAAACACATTGTTAATTGTTGAGCGTTAAACATCATAATTGCTCATTCTCCTTTTCGTATGTCTTTCCTTTTTTAATTCGTAGTACATGTATACACATTTATTACTTCATTTTCTTGTTACTTGATAAATTAAGATTAAGAATTTTGAAAAAATGTCATGATTGATATTACCATTATATTGACGTTATTTTTGTAAAAGATACCCTTCCGACAATTTACAATATTAATAAATATTTGCAAAATAATGCAATATCTAGCATAATATTTTATTCTTTTGTGTTTAAATAAACAAACAAATCTGTGAAGAGTCGCGCATAATATTTTGCATAAGATATTGTGGTACATATGGCCGCCAGTATAGGATTTTTATGCTTTTGCATTTAATGACTCATTCTTCACGCTTTTGTAGACATTTTGGACTTCACCTTATACTCTAAATAAAATCAAGTTTAAAAGTTTAATTTCAATAACTTATCATCATAAGTACAATATAAGAACAATATTTTATACTGAGACCACTGAAAACTTCTTTAAAATGTGATAATTTAATGATTTATTTCTACTATAAACGCCAATTTAATGACAATTACTACTGTTAACGCCAGGTTCTTAGTTTAAAACATATATTCAACAGAATACAATATCACTGAGTAATATTTAACAATGGGGTGACGATATAAAACAGCTAGACATATATCAAACTAAGGTAATCCAAAGTGGTTGACTTGTAGAATTAATAGAATGATTATTTGTACTTTGACCTTAACTAATAGAACCGTTGAAGAAATACTCGACTGGACCTAACTGCTTGTCCGAAAATATTTAATCTTCCCACTACTCTTTGTTATTCCCGTAACGATTTTTTCTTCCTTTTAACTATAGTTGATATTAATTGGGAGAATTCTTGAATTTTTTTATTTGGGATTCGGACCATTAATTTGGACGTATCAGTTTCTAAACCTAAGAACACCATTACTGTAGTTGGATTTACAGACTTATCATGAGCTATGGGGATGACTAGTTTCACAAAAACCTGTTCAAATGTTGATACTAAATGCTGGCTTGACTGCTAGCCATGATAAAATCATCCAGGAGGTGATCAATTGAGTTTGCATTTGCCTTGTTGATGACAAGGCAGTTAAGGAAAGAAAAACATATTTTGCACAAGTTTACACTTTGGCTTAACCCCATCGGTAAAAATGATCAATGTAATATTTTCCTTCCACACTTATTGGCAGAACCCTATATGCTGATTTAAGCTCGCGTTTTGCAATTAACAATGAATGACCCAAATCGTAAATCATTGCAGTTACTTTATCAAACAATGTGTATTTTACCAAACAAAACTGGGTGTCAATGCCATCATTAATACTTGATCCATGAGGGTATGATAAATGAGCGATCATTCTTCAACCCCCATCAGGCTTCGGAAAAATTCCTACTGGGATCAAATGGCCCAGCAATCCTACCCAGTGCTATTTCTATTAACTTTTTCCTGCAGTTGTTCTTTATGTTCATAAGCAGATTTAAGAGTTTGAACACTTGGTCCATTGTTTTCAATTTTGAAACCATGCACAAAGATCCTGTATGTTTTGTGATTGATATTGTTACTGTGTGTATACAACACTTGCAAAAAATTATATATTTATATAATTATGCAAATAAAACAATTTTCAAACATCGAAGAATATGTAAAATGTGTACTGCAAATATTTGTGCACATTATATTTAATCAATAAATTAAGTGCATTCATTCTTATTGGACAATTTGGCTTAGAATTTATAGAAAATAAATTTCTAATTACCTCCCTTTATTTACACGAAATGTTAAATTGGGTATTATCTTTATAAATAATGCTTATTTGAACTTACAATATTGACAAATCTCAATTTGAGCATCATATTATGAAATAAAACCATGGAAAAAATGTGTTACAGGATCTTTTAACCCATTAGCTAAAATATTTGCATCTGTGCAATTCTCATAATGCTGCAAGCATTTTTTTAGTACTTGGATTTTTACTGGTGAGGTACCTAGATGTAAACATGTCACAATTGCATTTGGAATCTTGGTGTATTAGAGGAGACGCGGGGCCTAAATGGTTGCCTGCTTGACCAGCGATGCACCTTCTGTTGTGGCATGAACACATTGGCTGCTGTGCCCCATGTTTGGGTATGTCTGCCTCTTGCATGATCTAACTGTGTGATTTCCCCTACAATTTTAAAAGACAAGACGATAAGTGCAATCCAATCTTGTGCAAAAGCGGTAATTGAAATCATAGCATGTTTGTCCCCCGTTGACATAGCTATTGCACTTTGACCCATAAACAATATCCATAGCTCTTCATCTATAGCCCAAAATGACATGTTTGAGTTTGACTATAGTCTTAACCGAAATTGAGAGTCATAACTCTAAATGACGCTTAGCTGCTGTCCTAATAATTGACCCATACTTCGGACTTGCCCGAGTTTCTGTGGGGTAAGCGCTTAGATATATGCTTGCAAATACTAAAAATGCATCAGACCATTATTATATAGTATTTATTTTCTTTGCGTTTGATGGGGCCATAACTAATTGACCAGCTCCGTTTATAACAAGTTTTGCCCCTTTTTCGTCTTGAGGAATGGCGCTATTGTTACAACTAGGCAATAATGTAGCCATATCTATATATTGCCTCTGTTTAATCTGTTTTTATATATTGGGGAGCAAACACCTCTAGCATAGATTTGACACTTAGAATAGGTTGTACATTACCTTGTTCGTTTGCCAGTTTGAAGTTCTGGTCCAACCACTGTTGCCTCATGTCAGCAGGTGGTGGTATGGGTGCCCTGTGAGATGTTGTAGGATCCCTGGGCGGTCGTGTAGGTACCCTAGGAGGAGGTGTGGTGGCTTGAGCGGTTGTGTTGCCACAGTTGGTGACCTACTTGACCTTGCGGGTGCTCTTGGCGATGGCTAAGGGGCCCTAGGTAGTGTGGTCGCCTTTTCAGTTTCTGCCTGTCATCATGGTCCTCTAGTCTGCCAGGTGTTTTCCGCTTTCTTGTAGAGCGTATCATCTTCTCTTGAATATGAAACCGTAAAATATCAAGTTTCCATTAAAATGGATTAAATTAAAACAGTAATAAATATACTTGTAAACTTTAATTTACATTTAATGTAAGTTACCTTGTCCTATCCAAACCATTTACTATTGTGAAACGTGTCCCCTTTTAGGGATTTTTTTAATTTTTTTTATTTCATGTTTTAAGTCGATATTTAAAATTGTAAATTATTTTCCCAATCCACAGGAAACACTTCCAAATTTAAGGTTACAAAATAAAAATATTGAATAAATAAAATTAGGGTTTCTTTACTCTTATAGTGCTTAAGTGACCGTAAAATAATCTTAAATAGCGATTTTTTTCATTTATTGTATCACTGCAAATTTAGTCATGTATATTCCCCTTGCTTAGATTTGTAATGGATAAAAAAAAAACATTAACATTTCAGCTTTTCGGATCAAAATCTGGAAACAAAGTGATCCCTTGGAAGCATTAATCACAACAAAATTATATGAAAATTGCAGACTCGGTTTGATTAAGTCTGTAAATGAGGGATAATGAATAAGTGCCTAACGCCCCCAGCACCGGCTTGAGCGGCACTCAATCCTCAACACTTAATAGTGCTGGCATCAATGATCCCGAAGGACCAGAAAAATAAATGTGTTGTACAATCCATGTGTTGTATATACATATTCAAAATGTATTCGCTACTTTTACATGCCTTCTCTTTTGTAATTTATGTAGATATCTCGATTTTAATAGTGACCAGACAAACCATTTGGAGACCTACGTGGAGTGCCAAATTGTTTAGCAAATTTTCTATTTTAGCCGCTTAGTGCATAATTTCTACTCTAGATAAATTTAATTCTACCAAAAACCAAAATAATGCAACTTAAAATGCACTATAGTTATAACTAAAACCTGATTGTTTTTTATGCGACAGAAAATTTAACTTGCCTCTCCTGTTGCTGAAAATTTCTGAAAGAACGGTGATCGTGAAAATATCCCTTGTGTAATTATTACACCGATATCTCAAGGGACAAGACCACTATATTCAATGTTCATTATATAACCCCCTTATATTTGTGGATGGTTTATAAATAACAATACTTAACCTTTTGCTTTCCTATGACCCGTTCCCACTCATTCCTTTGTGTTTATATTGACAAGTAGATATTCAGTATTAGTGCATTTTTGTATACTGTAAATCCGATATTTTTCGCTATGTTTTAATTTTCGCTATTACTCGCGAATCGGCTGCTTAGCAAATTCATGATGCCGCGTAAATTTTATAGCATAACATACACTATAAAAAGTTAATCTGATGATTTTTTTGTTCAAATTGTGATAAAGTTTGATAATGAATACAATAACTGAATACAAAATAATTAATATGTGCAATGTTTTAGTTACATCATTATAAAGATATGGAGGTTTAGCAACATATATTTCGGATTCCTTTATTTTCATAATTACAAGCATATCAAACACAAAATCTCACATTATTTTCTGACAATATGCACTAATTTTGCACTTTACAGCCAAATGTGAAGACATATTGTTTAGATAACAATATATTTACGATGAAACAGTGATCAAAGGACAATTTTCATACGATAGATTTAGTAGATTATAAACAAGTATATTACACCTTCTTAAAAATATTTCTTTTGTCAGAATATATTGAGTGTAAAATACACGTTTTGTTTGTCAGAATGAAAAGTGCAATGTTTTTATTCAATTAGATATTATAATAAAACGTAAGAGCAAATACACTACTGTTCTTTTCATTTAATGCCTACTTATTTCGAAAGAAGTAATTTTCCCGATGTTGTTACTGTTCAAAGCGCTGGTAAAAGACCATTACTAAGAAGAAATTGTGATCTTAATCGAGAGATATGCCATTATTAATATGATAAATTCCAACAATTAATTTGTATGTGAACTAATATGTTTTCATTATAGTTATTTCGCACGAACTAACAAAATATTCGGTAAAATATATCAGTCATGGTGTTAAAATATAATTATCTTGTTTTCGTTGATGTCCAGGATTCTCACATTTCTCAAGAATTAAATAACCAGAGTTTTATCATCAGCCAACATAGCTTATGTTTATCCTACATTTGATATATTTCAGTGTCTCTTCAACCTAAGGTTGTGTATAAACCAACTGAGTTTCCATACTCAAAATGTTCTGAAAATGGTGTGAACCGAGTGAATTGTGAAAAGCTTAATATGAGTTACGGTAAGTAATATCGCATGCATTGGTTTTGTTTCTACATATTTTTGAACACTTTTACAGTTAAAATGCAGAAGATCAGAAAATCTTATAATTCAGTTTTGCGAATTTCTAAGTCACTTTCGTTTAATGTCTTTTTCTAAAAAACTATCCAAAATACAAATTTTACTTTGAACTCCATGTTCACTATCAAAATTGATACATTTTCGTACTGACAGTCATTTTGTAACAATCCCTTTTCTGCTGTCAATGATATTCATTTCCAACTTGAAATACGAGGGGCATATTGTAATTCGTGACAACCAACGGCAGCCTGTTTTGATAAATAAGTCATACTTTTGAAAAATTATTATAAGAGTCCTTCATTTATTTATTATGGACCTCTCCACACTTTTCCAACATCAGAATCCATTCCGAAAAAGTATTTTTGAACTGCTCTTTGGGTACTAGTATTTTGTTTGTACACTGTTAGCGAGCGTTTCCGACGGGACAATGGGTTTTGAATCGGCGACAGCGAAGGCAAGATTTCATGTATGGATTCAACCAAAAGTCACAAGGAGGGAGGTCAGGACTATAAGTGGGATGTAGGAAATTGTTTTCAATTCTCTTTTCCTCTTAATAAGCTTATCTCCTCCACGGTATATCTTGCATCTTCATCAACTATGGCTTTTACAGTGCTGATGTTTTTTCTTCAGAGGTAGCAAAATTTGGCGCCTTAAACAGTGATCATCCTTAACATAAGTTCTACTTTCCTTAAACATTGACACTCACCTGAAAATTGAACGATATTGAACATAAACTAAATCCAGATCCGTTTTTATTTCTGACGTGCAATTGCCGAATAAACCACACATTTTGCAATGAGCTCTTTGCTCCTCTCTCAAATTACAATGCAAGTCTGCCTTTTTTACAACTAGTTTACAAAACCACATGTATTTACATGATTTGCTAAAAATTATATTAATCGTGCGAGAATAGACAGTTGGTTAAAAAATATCAATAATCTTTTCAACGGTATAGTATACATGTACTTTCACGTGCAAATCATTGTGGAATACAATTGGTGTCACTAATTAAACTATGCCCCTCGTACTTGTTCAATATAAGTGCATGTAGTTCTGCTTTGCGTATTTGCAGATAATGTTCTTATTTCTTCTTTAATTTTCTTGTAATGTCCAGAAATTAGAATAAACTAGACATGTTGAACGCGCAAAGATCCTGTGTTCCATAATCCCTCGAGTCATGATTGCATTTTTATATGAATTATGATGCAGGGATTTGAACGCGAGATTTATGGTTTTTGTCATAAATGATGTAGAGCTTTGAGTCGCAGAAATTAACATACAAGTCTATGTGGGTGTCATTGCTACTTTTTAATGTACGCTGGAATGAATTTGTCACTGTCTGAGTATTTCATATATGCTTCAAAAAATGTCTTTGAATTTTATATATGCTAATGAAAATGTCATTGCACAACATATTTGCTAAAGTTAATATCCATCCATGTTATTTTTAACACTATGTCATTGTACGTTAAAAGGGACTCCACTGAATTATTTTTATTTGACTTTACTAGAAACAATTTTACAAGATTAATATTCCATTTGATGAAGGTCTAGACTAATAACTTGTATACAAAATTACATTTGCCAACTATATTTTCCCAGAATAATTATTTTGATTGCGAAAAGTTACCTAAAATTGAAAAGAAATTACAACCCTTTTCACTTTAATCGGACTAAAAATAACACACAAATACAATTTTCATTTTATTTGGAATATATTTCTTAATTATCTTTCTGTTTTTAGTGTCGACCATATCTATGTGAGACATTCAAATGCAATATCTTTATGCTTTTGTGCCTGGTGTTCCCTTAATGTCACTGTACTTTCATATATTCTTAAGTTAATGTTATTGTATTTCATTTATACTAAATGACAAAAAATGCTATTACGCTTCATTTATGCTAATGTAAATGTCATAACTGTATTTCATTTATAATGAAGAGAGTTGGGTGTCTTTTGAATGTCATTTGCTATATGTACTGAGGGAAATATACGTTTTATGTCGATGAGAATGGTTTTAATCACCCTTCGTTTGAGTTTCAAACACTTTTATACGTGTAGGTATTTACCTACATTTGCAAAAATATATTTGGTCGACAGGGTTGTCAGTAATAGTATTTACAGAATTCAGTAAATGTATGGTATCATACGTAACACAGAAACATATTTTAAAACATGCATTTGCTGCAATTTATCATACTACATTTTTGACAGGGTTTTCTCTGGGTTTTTTTTCTGGCAATTGTCATAGTGATATTATACAGTTTGAAGGTTTCTAGATATAACTTTGCTACTCCTCTGTTATTGTTTTTTTTTTGAAAACCGCACAGTTAAATTATCATAATACATCATATATTCAACGATCAAGCTTCTATTATTTTGACCGATGTAACAACCGTATTTTACACAGACAAAAAACTTTCAAATGGTTTTCATTTTTTGTATATATTTTGAATTGTATTATTTATTCTTAAGTCGTACAAAAGTAGTTATTTTGGTTGTTCCTTTTTAGCAAGTTGAATATAATATTTTTGAAATGATAATTTTGACTTTTTAGTAGCATGTTTAACTTTAACGGGTTATGAGCAAACATATATAATGACACCCTACATTTAAAATCCCTTGTAACACCAAAAACTGCCCGTAATGTGAAAAAGACTTTTAAAAATATGGAAGCGTATAAAATTTAAAAAATTTTTTAACTAAAATAATTTTAAATTTTAAAAAAACGAAACCGATTATGCAATTATATTTAGTTATATTTTTTTATTAAAGTGGAAAAAATTTTGAAAATCGTCCAAAAAAACATTTTGGGATTTATATTTTTTTCTTTAAAATTTGAGGACTATGATGGTAAAAATAAAATAAAAATCTGGCATTTCATTAAAAATTTTAAGATAAAAAAAATGATATATCGTTTCCTGTTATTATGCCCCTCCGTATACCAAACCCCAAAGGAAACTAATTAACAGGAAAACTAGCTTTTACAAATTCATGAACATTCCTTAAGGGTTGAAAAGAGCGAAATAGAAACCCCCAAAAAAGTCAAAAGGCAAAATTAGAATGTTACGGGTTGGGGTTTTTATGGAGATTTTTTTTTTAATAAATGTATCTGAAAGCTTACAAACAAATGTGTTTTTGATTATACAATTTATTAGGGTAAAAAAAACCGGCCGACAAATAAATTTTTTACAGCACTGAAAAGTTTTATTTTATTTAAGTGAAAAAAAAGCCTAATAAAAAGGGACAAACTATTTTTAAAAAAAAGTTTTTGCGGTTTTTTTAAAAGATGTTTTTCACTAATTTAAATTTTTTTTCTTTGGGGGCCCGAAAAGCAACATTTTCAAAATTGGTTGTTTTTAGTATTCTTTAAAATATCCTTTAAAATTTTCCCCTGGGAAAATTTTAAAACTAAAGTATCATACAGCTGCCCCAAAACATTTCTATATATGTTAATAAATTCATTTTATTTCTACTGTAATTAATAAAATATTATGCCGTTATTAAGATAATATTCTGCAATCGGTGCTAGGAGCATGGAGGGAACATTGAATTAACAATTGTCGCCCATGAACAGGCGCATAGTTAACAGACTTAACAAGCTTTAAGGTTTTCATTTCCTGTAATTGTTACTTTTATTGCGGAATTTAATGACAGCATAATAAAAATTAGAAATATCTTAAAACATGACAGCCCAGCGTTGCTGAGTAATTTTTAAGTCATTCGCTCAAAATGAGTCTTTTTATTTGCATTGCAAAAAAGTGTGTTTTCTTTAAGCATCGTAATAAGCTTTAAAAATAAAAAAAAAAGTGTCAAGCAATTTTGCCCTCAATTCATAATAATAGCAATATTGAACTATCGTGAACACAAAATGATCGAATTTGTTTATTTATTTATCTATCTATGATATAAAAGATACAAATAAAAAGTGTTGCACACTAATTTTTAATTAATTCTAATGAAGAGAGCATTGCTTCCTTTAGAGTAACTTTAAATAATCGAGTTACTTCACATTTTACATAAAATATTACTTTGTTTAATTTGTTGAAGGTTTCAAAAAATTGAATTGGTTATGTAATTCACATTTAAAATGTTGAAACACAGTCATACAAATATAGATTAAAAAATGCTACAAATTAGTTTGACCTTTTTTCTGCTTCAGATGACTGTGACTAGAAGAAACCAGACATTCTGCTTTGTTTATCAATTTATTTTGAAAAAGTTTTTCAATTTTAAATATATCCACATTATTTTTTTTCTGTTTACAGATAGACAAGATAAAGAGAGCGTGTGGCCACCAGGGCCATACGCAATACCAATGTGTAAATATGGCTGTCCAGAATCACAGTCTCGAGGATGGTCGAAAAGCATTTTAAAAGTCAAGATGGTAGAATTTAGTAAAAATTCAGAAAGTGTCCCTACAGTGTTGGATAGGTATCGGGAACCCTATACTTCATTCATAAATGATGACTATTTTAAATCGCCGCATCGTAAAGAAAATTGGACGCATTTTCATTTCTGCGTGAAATTCCGTAATGACATTGCACTTGATAGGGAACAATGGATTCCAGGAAACTACAGCATTTATAAGATAGGATCTTCATGTCCTATGGGTACATATCAATTATTGTATACTTTTAAAAAGTTCTGATAAAACTGCATGAGCAATAGAAATCAGACTTTCCAATATCTCTCATGAACATATTCAGTTAAGTTCGATTCTGCGATTTTCATATAATTATATTTTCATTTCTAATCTGGAATCAAATATTTCGAGGTTTTATGTTCATAAATCACTTCCATCATATTCCATCAATGGTACATTTGAGCTGCTATGTTTATCATTATAGGTACTTTAAAATTTATCTGATGTACAGTATATCCAATAATACAATGTTATCCTTGTATCATGATTTTTCTAGAATTTGAAGAATCCACTAGAACATTTCCTGTCACTGAATTTGTGTCGCACGGTCATGTTCCAGAGATTTTGGGTAGGTGGATTGAAGAAGGGTTCGTGGGTAAAAATTATTGTTCTGTACGTAGTCAAAAGAGCTTAATGAGACTACACATTTTAGGTGCACAGAAATGTACGAAAAGTGAATTGGAACAATTATCAATATCTTACTGATAGTTCTTAGAAATGCATGATAGCATAACCTGTTTACATCTTTAAATGGAGCACGAGACTTTTATTCGATTTGGCAATTGGTTTGTGCTAAACAGATATATTTTAGGCCCCATTTGAATATGGACGGATAGCCTATGCTTTCTTTCTGTACGCAGAAAGGACAAGTATGACTTCATGATGTTCTTAAGATGAGCGATTTAGAACGCATGACTCCATTGAGGAAAAGTTATTTTGAATTCGAAATAATATCATGTATGATTAAAGATAGGTAACTGTTTTTTTAGGCCAAAGGCTGGTATTTTGGACTTCCAATACAAATACTTATTCGCTGTAACTGTACTAAATGCTGAAACGCAAACAAAAAAGCAAGCAAAAGATAACTCCGGTATTTGAACAATGAGAACCATTTTTTAAAAACTGTACCAGGACATTTAAACTTTCTTTTGACAAATAAAACTTAAGATATTGCAGGCTTTATTTGCTGAAGCATGTGCTGGGAGGCGGTGTGGTAGCTTCCAATCATGTCATCACAACTATCGTCCATGAACATGCTAAATCAAACCGAGCCTGCAATATTTACAGTTTTGATGTGTTATGCTTTCTTTTGTTTTTCCCTATTTTAGAACCCGTTTAAATGTGTCCTGAAATTTTTGTTAATCGCTTTGTTTTCTTCACATGCATGCTTTACTGCTATTGTTCAGAATGATTGCAAGATAAAAATTACCATTTCTGTATTATTCCAGGGCAATCTGAAAAACGCTTTAACTAAAACCTCCACTCATTTCAAGTTTTGTACACTAAGAAGAATGTGTGTTCTGAATGTGGTATACCGAACGTTCATGCAAATATGAAAAGATTTGTTAACGATTGTTGGGAGACATGCATTTCATTTTTGAAAAGGGCAAAGCGGCTTTTATTTTATAGTAATAATTAAAAGTATACTTTAATATCCAGAAATCAAAAATGAAGTAAAAGGCAAGTTACTAAATAGAACATTTTGACGATAATGGTAGTCTTTATTATCACCAAGTACAGAGGTAAAGTCCTGCTTTACGTGACGCGAGCACGATAGAAAGTTGGCGGCAATTATCGATATGAATTACACGCAAGTTGAGTTGAACCGTATTTGATGCGTAATCTTTCTTTACAATTTGCATCATATTCAATCCTGGTCTTGAAATAAACGCATCTCTGTGTAATGAAATCGAATTTGTAAAAAAAATATAATTGTACAATTTTGCCATATATCAAATGTTGCACTGAACATTGATATATTTCTATATCAGTTGGAAAAAAAACATATCTCGAGTACAATAACCTTTATTTTGACAGGAGGAAGATACAAATTGCCCCCAGTTCAACGTAACAAATGTGTCTCAGGGTGTGACTCACTGTTTCTATAACCCAAAAGGTAAAAAATCTCTATTCAAAGTTGAATTCTATCTTAAAAATTACATTCTTTAAATTTCGGTTTAATTTTTGTTTGTCAGTTAAAGCTATATTTTATAAATATGTATAAATATTTTGCCGTCCGCCTAATAAAACCAAGCAGTCTGCATTTTTATTAACCTTTTTATCAGTATGGTTGTAAATATTATCAAATATTGTTTAGAAAATATAATTCTAAAAGGAAAACCCAACGGCAAAACTAAAGTTCAAATACGAATTTTTACAAGCAAAATGAAAACTGTGTATGCGTTACAACACAGTCTTAGACTTTTAAAAAATCAATAGTTGTAAAACGAAAATGTAGTATTTTCTCATGTAATCAACTTTTACCGGTATCCGTTCGCGGTACATAAGGCTTCGTTGTACAAGGGGTTTCAACGAAACAACCATCATAAAATGCGGAAATATACCGTTAAATTTGGACTTATACTAACAGGCATGTTTATCGTTTTATTTTCTGTTGATGTATTGTTTGGTTTTATTAACCTGTCAATTACATACTGATTACACGGTCGATGCACACAGTATATGAAATTTCGGTAGATGTTCGATGGAATTTAATTTAATTTGTATCTCTAAACTAAGTACACTCAGCGTTATAGCGCAATTGGGTAAATCACGAGTTTATGATTTAAGTGCCACACGTGTTTTAAGTTCGAGGCCGCATTGGTCCATGTTTTTTTTCTTATTAATACTTTCAATATTATTGAATCTATATATGATTATTTTATGTTGTTCGTTGTTTTTATTATGTTTTACTTAATTTTGTTATGTATATACTCTTTTTAAATAACATGTTTTTTTAAGAATTCATGTTTAAAATTAAAACGGATTAAAATCAATTAATGTCTTTTCAATGCCGTAAATCAAACTACAAATCTGTTCCATTAAAATATACTGCAAAAATAAAGAAAGAGTACTAAAACAATGGCAACAGCAAGGATCGAACCACAGACCTCTTAATTATCAGGCATTCTCTTTACCGACTGTCCTATTGTGAATTAACGAAAACCTTCACATTAAGCTGGTGTGACTTTCAATCCGTGACTAATATATTCCGCATTAATTCTCGTAAACTACACGGACCAAACCGAAGTTGGATCGAATATTTAAATGTGTCCTATGATGTATTCATAATTGACAGGTCAATAAAATCAGACTATACGGATGGCCCATCGGCGAAGTTTCACATGTAATGAGGAAATGTACTCTCGATTTCGCAACAATGAAGTTACTGATTTATAAGGTTATAAAGCTCATTTTGGTCGTCTTGACGCAAAATTAAGAACGGGAGTCGCTATCAACCCCATTTTATTAAACAATTGTAGCTATCTATTTTTTAATAAAATTTATTAAATTCAGCTTTAAAAACAATAAGTATCTTATCAATTTTTATAATTCACATTTAACATACCTTTTATTTTGGATATTAAATTAACATTATCATTTTATCATATTAAATCAAATGTCATGTAAGAAGCTAAGGCTCAAAATCCGAAAGTAAATGGATCAATCAAGACAAATGAGACCAATCAGCGGGCGTCTACTATACTGATCATTCGGATAAACGGAAAGTAAAAACACTTTAAATCATAAATAACATCAATTAATTATAATCAATTTGGACATAATATCAAATAATTTTAAAATTATATAAGTATAGAAACTTGGCATATCTCTTAAACTTGCTAAAACCATGTTTAAAAACTTGTTGAATATGCCGTGATTGATCAATTTCAACTATACACATTTTTTGTAAGTATCTATAAAAAATCATATCTTGGTTTTACAATGTTCAATGAACAAATACATGAAATATTTAAAGTTAATTTTATTATGTAAATCTGATTAAAAGCTATTTGGTTGTGATTTAGCATTTTCTTGTATAGGCCCACTTTCGATTTTCTAGTCACTGATTGGTCAACCTCTACACTCGATATTAAAATACATATTCCCACATGTGGATATGTTTTTGTTGCAATATCATATATATAATAAATATGAATAAATAAATTATTTTGAATTATATTTTGCGGTTTTGGCACCATGTAAACTATTTTTTTTAAATGATTCATTTTACGTCTGTCTAATAGGCTATTGAGCATACATTATTATGCAGATAAACATTTGTTTATGACACAGTACATTTATTTTTTTTGCCATAGGGATTAGAATCTTTTTTCCTTATGATTATTTAATACAATAATAATTATTTCTGCCGCCAAGGAAAAGCTATAATTTGTGTTTGTCATTACAGTGTGAGACTTTAATAGATATAGGTTAATTCAATACATTTTTTAATTTTATGATTCTTTAGCTTGGGGTGGATTTGCCCCCCAATCTTTTTTCCGCTTAAAATGTTTCTATTATCATATTATAACATATAAATGCTATAAATATTATCTCATATCGCAGTTCCGAGTACAAAAAATCGTACATGTTGAAATTATAAGTATACAAGAACTGAAGAAATATGTTATAGAATTATTTTGAAAAACTACTACTAGTTTTATATGTCAGCATTATATTGCGAGATACACTATAATTTAGAATTTTGCTAAGGTTAAATTAACATAGATTCTACTGTTTTGACACATTAGTTTCCAAAACAGTTGTCGTTCATATCGCGACTTGTTTGATTGCTATGATAGATCTTACATTTTTTTGCATTTGGACTAAGGAAGTGACCATGAAGGCCATAGTCCCGAATGGTAAATTTTCGCCATAATCGACACATTGGTGTTAAATATCCTTGAAACATGGCTCAGACCAATACTTTTTCGATTCTTACAGGACAAAATAAGGAAGGTCACTGACGCTATTTTTCAAGCGGAAATTATTTTTACTGCCGATTTCAGTATTTGACCGTTCTTGTCCGCATCGTACTGTCGCTGAAGTATAAAAAAATAAAAGAATTATTTAAAAAAAGAAACTTTTCAACAGACTGAATTGTATTTGTTTCACATCGATGCTTTACCCCCCCCCCTCGATCAGGAGTTGCGTACTTCTATACAGGCTTACTTCTATATCTCTACTTGTTTCCTAGCAGTTTCCGGCCACAAATCGCACTTTTTAACAAATAAATTAAAAATCAGTCTACGGAGGGGTACAAAACTTTGGTACCTGTCTAGCATTGTCATGTGTTTAATGTTAACCTTTCATTTAACTTTTTAATTTGAATATAGGCCTGAAATGTAACACTTTTTTCACCTTTATTCAACAATTCATAGCAGTTTTCCGGACCGTTTTTATTTTGAATATAATTCAGTACCATAAAGCAATGTTAAGATGGTTTTATCAGACAAACAGAACTTCCCAACCTTTTCCGTGTCGTCTGCAAAAATATTTTCCGAAGTATTGATTTAACTAAAATTGGGTCTTAGTTATTGCGAATGGATATTCAAACTAGAATTCCCCAGGTGTTGCTTATTTTTGAAAGTCGCAAGTTCTCTTATGTAACTTTAAATAACAGGCAAAACTTCAAAACATATAAATCTATGTACTATTTTAAATGCTGTTTAGCATAGAAAACAAATGTCTCTCTGATTGATGAAGTAATGTGGATGCCTTACTGGTAAAAATAGACTGGACGAAAATGATAAACGGCCGGAAAACTGCTAGGGGACGGAAACTGCTAGAAAACCAGTACTAACGAATAGTCAAATATACCTTCAATATTAATTATATTAACGGATCTGAACAAAATTCTATGTGAGATGATTTTAAACATTATATGAACCATTTACCATTATATGAAAAGAAAAGATATTTAATATTTCCGTACTAACGGTTCAAATGTTTCTTTCTTTCTTTTTTAATTGTTACCAGTCCAAAGCATTGATAATGAAACAGCAACAGGTATGTCTATATAGTTATCTTATACATCTTTAAAGTATTTTCAGTAAAACATGAAATTTGATATTGTCATCCTCATATAAAGCAACATTATTAAAAGGTTCTCTTTTTGAACAATTACTTTCGGAGTATTAAAAGTTTAACTTTACAATCATCCATTCCATCAAATTCGTATGTAAAGTATATTGGTAAACGACTTTTACAAGAACATTATTCAGACATTCAAAATCAAATCAATACAATACGATGTACACAATGATATACTGCAGACTAGTGAAATGGTTATTGTGAACAAAACTATAAACACTATTAAGATACAGAATTCAAATCATTTATGAATTTCATTTTAAAGTTTATTTGCTTAGTATTTTCAGAGTTGATTCTAAATCAAAGAACCCTCTACAAACTGCATCAAGGTAAGAATTAACTCCATGTCTTGAAGACATACATGATGTACATTTGCAA